AAAAAAAAAAAAAAAAAATGAAAATTGTTAACTTTGAACATATACAAAGAGATACACATACAGGAGATGTAAGTTTAAAGTTTACATTTGTTTTAATTTGGAAAAAGGCTTTCAGGTAATTCTTTATACTTGCTAAAGACAAAAAAATCCCAAGAAATGTATAAAGATATCTGTGGAATTCCTCCACTCTTAAGAAAAAAACAAAATTGTATATAAAACTTTTTATTTTTCCCAGTTTTTGGCTGGGGCTGGGTTTGAATCCACCACCTCCAGCATATGCGGCCAGCGCCCTACTCCTTTGAGCCACAGGCACCACCAATATATAAAACATTTTTTTAACTATCATCTGTACAGTATACTTGTCTATTATCACAAACTCATACTATGACCCCACCATTTATATGCTAGACGAAATTAAAATCAGTATAATATTTTATTATTCTTTTCTACTTTATTTTATTCTTTTCAATAATAAGAATCCAATTTGGACTCAGGCAATCTGAGTCCCATGTGAGTGATCCATGTACATCCATCTCCATGGGGTTCCTGCTCTTCATCTTTAATTTTAAAATTCCCTATGATGATTTTTCCTATGTAGGACTTATCTCATCATCTAATAACTTTCTTTTTAATATTAAAATAATGATTATCTAGAGTGGCACCTGTGGCTCAAAGGAGTAGGGTGCCGGCCCCATATGCCAGAGGTAGTGGGTTCAAACCCAGCCCCGGACAAAAATTGCAAAAAAAAAAAAAGATTATCTAAAAGACAAAGAGCAATGTAATTCTGGCACTTGACAAATACAAAAAAGTCTCTGACCTATTTCTCCTCCTCTAAGCAGGAGATTTACTTGGTAGTAAATTAAACAAAAAAAGCATTCTAACTTAAGCTATCTCATTTAATTTTTTCTAAACTTACTTACCTTTCTTTGTAATTCCATGTATACCCAACTATCAAAGAACTAATAATTACTCATTATAACTGAAATAGTAGAAAAGCATACAAGACAAAACATGAAAAAGCTAGTATGACCCAAGGGAAAACATCTAATACCAGATTTAACCACACAGAAAACTAGAGTCTAATAATAATAACAATAATAATAGTTACCCTATCTAAGTATATCCAAAAATAATTAGGAAACTGCATTTTAGGAAAATCAGTGAATAAAAATATTACACATTCGTAGAATATGACCATCAGAGAGCCAGCAGGATGGTTGCAAAATGCAATATTTATGCAAAAACTGAATCGCTTCATAGTCAGAGGGCAAAGACACGCTGAGGCCAGCAAGTATATGCTTCTAAAACTTGTTTCATTCATATAATCTTTTTGTTTTTATCAAGCAGTAGGTGAATTCATTAATTTTTCCCAGAAACACAGAAAACAAAAAAGTAGTAAGGAAAGCAAAGAACAAAATTCTAAGTCCAAATAAATGTGATATCAACCCCAACATTTTTGGCATATGTTCATTCATAGAAGAAAACCTCATTCATGTGAAAAGTCTTGGAATATGCTAACATTAATCAGTTAAAAAGGCAAGATTCAATTACAGATCATAATTCTTGCAGTATTTTAACGTTTCTTGGCTTCAAAAATACTGTTTTCCAAAGTCTTCACTGCTGGATAGAGTTCAAAATGCCATTCTATATATAGAACCTAATTATAGAACACGAATATCTATACAAACGACTCCTCAAATCTTTACCAATCAGAAAATGCCCCTCTCTTTTTAGGCAGTTTACTCTTAAGTAGATGACAAATTCCCAGTTATATTACAAGAAAGCATCAAAAAACACACATCTAATGACAGATGAATGGCCTTAAGGAAGGGGTAGAGAGCCAGTAATCCAAAAAAAACAGTTTCAAGATATAACACTACCAATAACTTGCTTGATGAAAGCAAGCCACCATCCTTTGCCTCAGTTTACTTTAACAGGGTTATTCTGAGAAAAAAAGAGAGTATACATCAAAGCGCTTGAAAGAGTGGAGAGTATTATAATAGGTTATTCTGTTAGTAAAATTAAAACTCTGAAATCAACTCCTTGATGTAATCACCGCTTTCAGTAAATGGGTTTGGAAATTGTATTACAAAATATATCATACACAAAAGTGTATGATATATATATATATGTACTTTTGTGAATGATATACACACACTATAAAATACTTGTATAAAATACTATATTATATATACTATAAAATAGTTGTAACTTTAAATTGTATGAACTTTTATATAATATAAAATAATTTTAATGAGCCTGATATGTACCACACATCTTAAGAAAGTGACATGACTAATACCTGGACGCTCCCATATGCCTGTTCTATCATATTTCTTTTCACTCACTCCAGACTATTTTAAATTTTGTGCTAATCACTTCCTTGTCTTTATTTATAATACTGCTACAGTTTCATGTATCCTGAAACTATTCATCCATTTACCTGCCTGTCTTCATCCATCTATTCATCTAATCATCCATCCCTTAATCCCGCTTTTTGACCTTTATAGATATGAAATTTCTATAATATTTTTCTCAGAGTAATTTCTTGATATTATTATCTAATTTTTCACATACCCCCCTAAAATAAAGGCATGTGTTATACCCATTTAAAGCAGGGAAAATACAGTGAAGTTAGAGACTTGTCACATTATGTAAGACGACAATAAACAAATCTTTCTACAATTCTGAAAGTAAAACGAACCAATGACCATCTTGGAGCTTTATAGCACATTTGTATTTTAATATTTTTATACTGCCTTCACAAGGCTAGTATTTTTTCTTTCATATTAAAGAAGAGCTATATTAAAGAATATTGACGATGTAAAAGGCTTAAGCAATATTCAAATATTTTCTTAAAAGGAAAATAAGAACATATTAAATAAATAATATAAAAAGATGTATTTTTCTTTTAGGAGATTAGCTGTTTGGAAATAGAGAGTCAGGTTAGAGAATATTTTAATTAAAGAATATGACTCCTTTAAATAGGTAATTAGTCTGACACTAATCAATTCAAATTTATCATTCACCTGAGCAAGTGGTGGAAGAATCTTCTTGCATATTTGCTGATTTGGTCTCTATATTCCAATATAGTTGTATCCAGAAGTGGTCTTGTTGGAGCATAGAAAGTTCCAAGGCTTGCCTCAAGCTGTGCTGTGGAATTCAAACATAGCAGCACTAAACAAGTGAAACTCTTTCAATTACAACAGAGTACTCATGTTTGCAGTCAGTCAGGTTTTGCAAACTTGGATGAAATGTGAGCTTGTTGCAGGAAAGATGAAATTAAAATATGACAGCTGGTACAAAAACGAACCTGTGTATAAACTTTCACTTGAGGCAAAGCTGACAATGACTCTGAGCAACAAAAAGCTGTCAAAACTGAAGAAATCCATAATGAACCAACCTCTCACCACAAATGGGTAATTAAAACAGTGACTCATCAAAGTAGCACAGTTTGAACTAGTACTTCCAGTAAAATCAACTCACAGTGTGCTCGACATTTACTCTTTAGCTTAAAGGAGAAGATGAACCTTTTGCACTGGGAATTAAAACCAGTATAGTAGAATTTTTTTTTTTAATAATACAAATAAACATAGCCTTACTGGAGAAAGAATATGTCTCTATTACAATTTTAAGAGAACAGTATAAGTTCCTATGATGTCCCGAAATCCTTCCCGAAACAACATTCTTGGTTTTATCCAAGTGTGAAAGCTAATTCCCCTGGAAGTGCAAAGAAGGCTTGAAGAGCAGGTTTTGATAAACTAGAGGGGTAGAGATTGGGGGGAAAGGCACATTTAGCCTATTTCATAATTTTACCAATATGTGCTTATAGGGCTATGTTTCTTCTCAGAAAAATCCGCAAGTTAAGTAATTACCATAATGGTGAGCATATGAGTATGTATGAGAATGCTACAGTTCACAGTAAGGTTCCTCTGATTTTTATGCTACTAGCACTGGGTTGAATAACCAAAACCTCATTTAGCAAAACTCTTTAGTTTTAGGTATATGTGGGTTTGAAAGTATTAAACACCTCATCAGAGTAATTGCTATGGACTTGGCTAAGCTGTTAGTAATTTCTCTTTTTAATCTCAAAGCTAGACACTAAAGTAAGATGAACTTTAGGGGTATTTTCTTTCAAAGCAGCAGTCAATTTAGATTAAAATTGAATACAGCAATGCTATTGTGAAAACAAGCCAGATTCTCTTGCCATTGCTTGTTTTCTTGACAGCATGTTTCGTACATCTGAAATGTTCAAACCTACATGGAATACTCATAACTCTCAGCACAGTTATATAGATTCATTAGATAGCCCAGCTTGATGTTCAAGGCAGAAATGAAGATCTCAAAGATAACTACAACACGGCTACAAATAAAAGGACTCACTGGGTTCCACTAATAAAAGGAAAACAAATTACCATGTCAAATTTGTTAGATTTAGATAGAATAAATCTCAACAGAGAAGAATTCTGAATGTTTTTTAGAAATGAGTTTTGCAGTTACTTGGGAGAAAATGCATATACCTACTTAAAATGTACATATTCTGATAACCTAGCATCATGCAAGCATTTTATTTTAATAGCCTAGTCATAGAAGCTTTTTTTTTTTCATACAAGCTTTTTATTTCTTTATCTCCCCAACTGTTTTCTTGACAATATTTTTTATTAAGGTAAGAATCTGATAATGCCCATTTGTATATTCTCTAATTATCTTTCATATAAAACAACAATCTAACAACATAAATTCACTAAGGTACTAGCAATTTCTCAGTGTCCTAAATGAAGAGTTAATATTTTATCTCCTCTACTATTTCTTCTTCAACAGTTAATTTAGGATTTTTTTTTGTATAGAGTGTGTATATCATAATGAGCTTTCTTTAAGGATTCCATTTAAAAAATTTTTTATGTGTCCCATCTTGACAGTGTAACAACACCAAGAAATAATTACTTAACTCTGCAGGCAGCAATATTTTAGTAATACCTTATACCCTAAAATCTTGGGATTATACTTTTCTTTTTTCTCAGTGAATAGTCACTGAGATCTATTGTGGTCTAAGCACCAGGGCAAGCATTTTTCTTATTTCAGAAATACTGGAATTTCCACAGATGAGTTTGGACTACCTCCAAAAGAACATTCAGTTAATATTAAATAAATATTATTGGCCTACTATTACTTGGGTCAAGACCCATGATACAGACTTGCTGGAAAAAGAATGTTCTTACTGATTATTCTTTTTAGAACTACTAAAAATTAGGTTACTTACAGAATTCTATCAAAAAACATGTTTATTTTGGAAATGTAATAAATTGGAATAAAAAAATCTGTAAAAATGTAAAGAAAATAGTGAGAAAACAAAAGTTCCCCAGTAAGTTGTTTTGACATACTTCCTGTTTTCTTTACCTTGTAAATTATATCAAGACAGTTTCTCACTGGCCACAATTTCCTACCATTAATGTCATTGCTTACTATAAATATATGAAATAAAGTTGCACCTGTTAGAATGTTCAGGTACATTTTACATTAAATAAATAAACAAGAAAAAATTAGATAATTTTCAAATATAAAGATTTATTTCATTATTATATATGACACAGCCCCTGCCCTTTTTTAAAAGTGCTTTACTTCTCTTTTGACAATAAACATCAGAGATTCCTAGGGGCAAAATTACTTACTGAGCAAAGGCAGGAAAATTCAAGCAGGCAAAAGGGAAAGGACATCAGAAGTGAGAAGAATGAAAACAAGGAGGAGCAGCCTGGGCTACAATTTTGACACATACAAAGAGTGAGTGTTGGGACTACTGCCTTTATAGAGGACTTGGGTGTAAGGAAAAAAATACTGATGTCTAATATGAGGAAGGGATAAAAATCTTTGTTTGGGACCCTTTGTCTACCAGACTCCAGAATATACATGAAATTCTTTATCAAAGTTTGAAATCTGAGCATATTCCATTCATTAGCTTGAATTTTATAATGATTGCATTGTGAATTCTGACATAAGCATATACAGAAAAGTTGTTCTTTATGTTGACAAATACTACAGTTAAGTAATACATGGGAACAATTATTTGATATCCAATCCTTTCAGTTTTAATACAGCATTAACATTTTTGTCTTTTAATCTCTTATAACTTAAAAATATCACTGATTCAATAACATGTATTTCATGTACATACAAAACACATTTATGAAATATATTTCAAGTCTGACCTTCTCTCTCCAGAGTGAGCCTTTGTCTAAGAAGATGGTTTACAATGGCACTCATGCTGATAAAGCACTGGTGGCCCAAAGTGTCCCAGTTCATGCTGCTCAGGATGTTAATTGCCTCATAGATCTCATCACACTGAATGTGCTGGAAGATGATGTCTACCAGGCCCAGCTGTCCTTGAGTGAGGATACCTGTCATAAAACACATATGACTGAGTAAATCTTTTAAGATAAAAAGTAGAATAACAGAGAGTTAACTTTTCCATAAAGGAAAACAACAGTAATCATTTCTTGCATAAGTACTAGAAATGTGGAACTGATCCCCTTCTCAACTAACATATGCTATATCTTGGTGTAACAAAAACACATTTGTTCATCCTTTTATAATGAAAGAAAATTCACTTTTAATCTTACAGATTCAAGAGCATAAAACAAAGGTGGGGGAAGGCATTCTGTTCTCCTTTTACTGTCTTTTAAATATGGCTAACCTCATTTGAAACAACTTCTGTGTATTAAGTAACGATAAAAACTAGGGCAGGGTTTTGTGTGTTATGTGTGGTTTGGGTTTTGTTTTGGTTTTTAATCCTTTAAAAATGGCTGGCTATAAAATCTTTTCTTCAGCCAAAGTTTACTGATTTGGGCAAGTCTACAAAAATTTCTCAGTACAAATCACCACAAGAGAGAAAATATATGTGAATTTACTTTGTATAATATAAAGTATTATAAAATATTGCTATAATTCTTCTATGTGTGCTATCATAATCATCAACATCATCACCATTCAAATAGAATTTTAAGAAAATATTAATTCATGAGAAAGAGGCAAAAATTCTTTATACTAACTTCAAGTCACATCAAACTAAACACTTCTGCTACATTGAACAGGACTCAACATGATAGAGAATCCAGGGAATTGCCCTGACTATACTAAGCAGTAAAACTTTACTATTCCTTTTGTGTTGGTAGAATCAAAGAATGTGACTGTCCAAAAGCCTTCCCAACCTACAGTCAAGCCCTGGAAGTCCTCATAAATCAGGGTGGTTCCTTGACAGTAGATATTAATGCATAGACACTTTGCGGGAAACCAAAAATATCTGACTCTATCTATACCCTAAGCAACACTTCTATCAGTAGCTAGAGAAAAAACTGATCTGTTGAGAAGAAAAGCTAACATACAATCATAAACAAACAGTTCAAAGGTGATAAAGATAAAATCTTAAAAAGCAACCATAGGAAAAAAAGACATAGGATAAAAATGATTGCAGATTTTGCATCTGATATTAGGTAAGGCAGAAAGTAAAGCAAGACGTTTTTAAGTGTGCTGACAGATAAAAATAAGTTAAGATAGAATTCTAAACCCTTATAATATGGGGCCCAAATTTCATGAAGAAACATACCAATCCTTAAAGTCATCTAATAACAGAGCTTATAAATAATAAAGCAGAAACGGACATAACAAGAAGGAGAAAAAATTAAGTCTACTATTTTAGCCAGGAGATTTCAACACTTTTGTCTTACCAATCAAGACAGCATATAAGCAGAAAATCAGTAAAAAATAAGAAATACTTGAAAAACACTATCAATAAATTTGACCTAATTGGCATTTATAAAACCCTTCACCCAAGAACAGCAGAATACACATTATTTTTAAATGTGCATATACAGTAGTCAAAGTGGAGCATATTGTAGGTAATAAAAATAATCCTCAATACATTTAAAAGGTTTGAAATTAGCTTGGTGCCTGTAGCTCAGCGGCTAGGGCGCCAACCACATACTCTGGAGCTGGTGGGTTCGAATCCAGCCTGGGCCTGCCAAACAATGACAACTACAAACAAAAAATGAAAGAAAGAAATAGCTGGACATTGTGGCGGGTGCCTATAGTCCCAGCTACTTGGGAGACTAAGGCAAGACAATCACTTAAGTCCAAGAGTTGAGAATCACTTAAGCCCAAGAGTTGGAGGCTGCTGTGAGCTGTAACGCCACAGCACTCTACCCAAGGCGACAGCTTGAGACTCTGTCTCCCAAAAAAAGAAAAAAAAAAGTTTAAAATTGTACCGAGGAGGGTTTCTGACTACAATAAAATTAATTAGATATCAATAACACAACGGTTATCTGGAAAATCCCAAAATATTTAGAAGTTAAGCAACATCCTTCTAAATAGTCTATATATCAAAGAAAAAAAAAAATCACAAAATATATGATCAGAAAATGCTTTGAATTGGCTTGGCACCTGTAACTCAAGCGGCTAAGGCACCAGGCACATACACCAAGGTTGGCGGGTTCAAATACAGCATAGGCCTGCCAAATAAGACAACTACCTCCAAAAAATAGCTGGTGTTGTGGTGGGTGTCTGTAGTCCCAGCTACTTGGGAGGCTGAGGCAAGAGACTCGCTTGAGCCCAGGAGTTGGAGGTTGCTGTGAGTTGTGATGCCACAGCACGCTACCCAGGGCAACAGCTTGAGGCTGTCTCAAAAAGAAAAGAAAAGAAAATGCTTTGAATTAAATTAAAATAATATAACATCAAAATTTGTAAGATATAGCTATAACAGTGCTTGGAAGAAAACCTTTAAATGTTTTAATTAGAAAAGAAGAAAAATCTAAAATCAACAAGCCAATTGTCCATATTTTTCTAGGGGAAAAACAACAAATTAGATCCAAAGTAAATACAAGGAAAGAAATATCATATTAAAGATAATAAATAGAGGGCGGCATCTGTGGCTCAAAAGGGTGGGGCGCTGGCCCCATATGCCAGAGGTGGCAGGTTCAAACCCAGCCCCGGCCAAAAAAAAAAAAAAAAAAAAAAAAAGATAATAAATAGAAAATTAACAACAAAAACAAACAAAAAAAATCAATAAATTCAAAAGCTGTTTCTTTTAAAGGTCAGTAAAATTGACAAACCTCTGGGTGGCACCTGTGGCTCAAGGAGTAGGGCGCCAGCCCCATATACCAGAGGTGGTGGGTTCAGACCTGGCCCTGGCCAAAAAACTGCAAAAAAAAAAAAATTGACAAACCTCTGCCCAAACTGGGAAACAAAGAAAAATGTCACAATTACTAATATTAAGAATAAACACTACAGAACTATGGACAATTAAAAATTAGTGAATAATATGAGTATTTTTTTTTTTAATGTTTTCGAGACAGAGTCTCACTCTGTTACCCTTGGTAGAGTGCCACGGCGTCATAGTTCACAGCAACATCCAACTCTTGGGCTCAAGCGATTCTCTTGCCTCCCAAGTAGCTGGGACTACAGGCACCTGTCACAATGCCAGGCTATTTTTAGACGTAGGGTCTTGCTGTTGCTCAGGCTGGTCTGGAACACATTAGCTCAGGCAATCCACCCACCTCAGCCTCCCAGAATGCTATGATTACAGGCGAGAGCCACTGTGCCCAGCTGAGTAACTTTTTACAAATAAGTATAACGTAAATGAAATGGATTCCTCGACAGACTCAAACCATCAAAGCTTACTCAGGAAGGAACAGATAGCATGAGTGGCACTGTATTATTTAAATTTGAGTTTATTGTTAAAAAAATCTTTATACATACACACACACACATACACCCTTCATGTCCAGATGCCTTCACTGGTTTATTATGTTAAATATTAAAAGAAGAAATAGCCAGGCACAGTTCCAGACCAGCCTGAGCAAGAGCAAGACCCCATCTCTAAAAATTGCAGGGAGTTGTGGTGGGTGCCTATAGTCACAGCTAGTTGGAAGGCTGAGAGGTAAGAGAATCACTTGAGCCCAACAGTTTGAGTCTGCTGTAAGATATGATGCCACAGCGCTCAACCCCAGGGCAAATGAGTGAGACTCTGTCTCAAAAAATAAAAAGAAGATATAATAAAGCTAGGTGTGATTGTGTATGCCTGTAGTCCAAGCCAGTAAGAAGATTAAAGTGGGAGGATTTTGGTTGAGCCTAGGAGTTTTAGTCCAGCCTGGACAAAATACCAAGACTGTCTCAAAAAATAAAAACATAATTAAAAAAAATAAGAAATAATATAAACTCTACACAATTCACAATATTAATATTGGAAGAACACTTCCCAACTCATTTCTTGAGTTTAGCATTACAGACACCAAAACTAACAAATACAAGAAAAGACAAATCCACAAATCAATATTCTCCATAAACAAATATAAAAATCCTTAACAAAATATTAGCAAATCCAGCAATATATTAAAAAGGTAATATACCATGAACAAGTGGGATTTACCCCACAAGTGTAAACATCTGAAAGCCAATCAATATAGTTCACCTTATGATGAGAAAAAAGGGAAAAAATAAAATCATTTGTATTAATTCAGAAAAAGCACTTGAAAAAATTCAACATTCACACAATATATCTAGAAGACTAGAAATGGGAGGAGACTTCCCCAACCTAGTAACATTATACTTACACTGAAAGATTGAGTGCTTTCTACCTAAAAGTAGAAATAAAGCAAGGATGTCCTCTCTTACCATTTGTATTTAGTATGATCTGGATGTCTTAGCTAGATAACAAGGGAAGAAAATGAAACAAAGGCACACAGGTTGAATAAGGAGAGGTAAAACTGTTTTTAATCCAGTTCTCATTATCATCTATGTAGAAAAGTGAAAGGAATCTGAAAAAAGTTACAACTAAAAATGAGTTTAACAGGGCTGCAAGGTACATGGTCAATATCCCAATGAACAATTAAAAAGTATATATAAACATACTATTTACAATACAAAACCATGAAATATTAGGGATAAATTTAACAAAATATGTACAAGATCTTTGCATTTAAAACTATAAAATAGTCTAGGCATATTGGCCCCCACCTGTAATCCTACCACTCTGTGAAGCCAAGTTGGGTGGATTGCTTGAGGTCACCCTAAGAGCAAGACCTGTTTCTATTTAAAAAACAAAGAACAAAAAAAAACCTAGCCAGGAATGGTGGTGGGCAGCTGTAGTCCTAGCTACTTGAGAGGCTGAGGCTAGAGGATCGCCTGACCCCAAGAGTTTGAGGTTGCTGTGAGCTATGACACCAGGGCATTCTACTCAGGGTGACAGAGTGAGACTCTGTCTCAAAAAACCCCAAAAAACCTATAAAACACTGCAGAAAGAACTCAAAGAAAATCTAAACAAATTAAGAGAAATCCTATGTTCATAGATCATAGATCTCTGCCATTCCTTCCCAAATCATCTATAGATTCAACATAATCTCAAGCA